GTGTGCGTGAGCACGTGTACGTGTTTCTTCAGGTGTGTGATCCTGTGTGCACGTGCTTATTCAGGTGTGTGTGTGTGTGTGTGTGTGTGTGTGTGTGTGTGTATGTGTGGGAGGGGGCACAGAAAAGCGTTCCAGGCAGTGGGTGAGGTGGGGGCTGCAGTCAGGAGAACATGATGGGGGCTGGGGGCTGGACCAGCGGGGTCAGGGTGCATCCAATCTGAACTGGGGAGGGACCTGGGGTTGGGGGCCTCACTCAATACAGGGGCCTTGCAGATGGACTCAGGGGGGGCCTGGGCAGGGGGGTGATGCTGGGTCACACTGGGGGGTGGAGAGGCATGTGATTATAGGATCCTCCCAGGAGGGCCACAGTCAGACAGGGGACGTGAGGATGGGGCAGAGAGACCTGGGGAAGCAGGAAGGGCCTTGGGCCAAGGATTTTTTGGGGGGGTGTTGCTTGGAGAAGCTGGAAGAAGCAGGAGATGCTGCTCCGGGAGCCTCTGTGGGGGCATTGACAGGAGCCTCGTGAGACCTGTGCGGGAGCCGTGACCTGGAGCTGGGTAAGTTCTCACACCGGTGCTGCTTGGAATTTGTGATGCTTCCGCTTGGTGAGGTAAGGGTTCAGACCCACCCCAAGGGCCCTGACCACTGCCCAGCTGACACAGACTCCGACCTTCGACCTTCAGGCCTGTGCCGCAGAGAGATCCTCGCTCACATCCCCACCGGGTCACCTGCAGGCCAGCCCTCAGAAAGGCTCTCCTGTCAGGTTAACCTTCCTACGGGGCTGCTGATTGCAACGCCGGGGGTTCGAGCCCACCAGCCGCTCGGGCGGAAGAAAGAGGAGGCTGGGCGCTCTTATAAAGACCCACCTCCCCGAAGCGAAGCCCTAAGCTCAGGGTTACTGCCCTGCGGCGCGATGGTCTCTCGGAATCGACAGGACGAGTGGGCTTGGTTTGGGGCTTTTTACACCTTTGGAGCTGGGCGGGGTGCGGGCACCGGCCACGTCGGTCTCCTTCCGAGCGGTTGGTGGGTTGAACCCCCAACCTCTCAACTGTCCCCGATATGCCACCAGGGTCAAACGGGGTCAGGGCGACTTGGCAGGGCCTCAGTGGGGGTCAATTCTGTGCGCTCAGCACACCCCACCGCGGCCTTGAGTCACACAAAGCCAGTTCCCACGAAGGGGCAGAGGGGCCAACAGCCCGCCTTGGAGGAGGGGCAGGGAGGATTCAGGGGGCCCCGCAGGTCAGTGCCTCCCTAGGTGAGTGTCCAGTTCTAGGAATACCTGGAAGCCGGGGTCCCCTCTGTGCAGCCCTGCTGAGGGTGGGCGGTGGGGGGCAGGGTCTCTCTCTGGGGCGGGACTGACCCCTCCCTCAGCCCCCCCCACCGGCACTGTGGGTATCGAACAGCCTATCTGGCCTCCACCCGCCCCATGCCAGGAGCACCCCCACCCCCAGCCCCACCCAGGCCCTGACAACTCTGGGTGAGA